CCATCCCCCCACCACCTAACCCCCCACCCACTGTGCCCCATTGTTTCTGGGCTACTGAGCAAGAATTTGCCTGCCACAGTGTACTGTTCTTTTTAGCTACCTGTAAATTGCCTATTCTTCCTCCTGAAATCCCATCTCTGTCCCCTTTTCCTTTGTCCATAAGGGCATATTCAACCTCAACTGCCCAGTGCCTCTGTGGGCCTCATACCTTATAGCACCCCTGGCATGTGCATCTGTAGTAAACTTTGTACATTTCCTCAGTACTCTGTCTGTTCATTTCCTAGCCCAGCCAGAACTGGAAGGTGGGAGGAGAGTATTTTTTTCAGTCCCCACAAGGGGACCATCCCATTCATCAGTGACAGGGACCCAGGAGAGAAGCTGGGTCTTTGTCTTCAGGGTCCTACTGGGTCCTAAGAACAGTCCAAATAGGGGATTCTCCATAGAGCAAGTGGTGAATTTCAGGAAATGAAGACTCTTTCAGATACTGGTTTTTGCATGAGACTTTGGGTTTAAGAACCAATTTAGTGTTTCTTTTTCCTTAGCAGTATTTCCCTAGGTATATTCCTTGTATTTGGAGCCATATATCAAAGGAGATAATAGAGGGGATATAAATGGATTCATTCCACTTTACTCATGGCTAGGGTTTTGTGCTATAAAAGCATATTCATCTACAAATTATATTTGAGTTTTAGTGTGTGTGTGTGTGTGTGTGTGTGTGTGTGTGCGTAAAATAGGACAAATATTTCCATTTTACAGATGAGGAAAGACAGCTCAAAAGTGTTAGGAAACTTACCCAAGGCCACGCAGCCTGGCCTACTCACTTTTCTTCCTACTCCACCCAGCACCAGGCTACTTAACAAATGGGTGATTGGTTTAGGGTACACTTGACATTGATCTGTATCTGAATTATGTTCTGGGTTGGTCTACAGTATGATACTATAGACTCTTAATGCCCCGGAGATACACATACAAATTCAGTCATCAAGTATTTATAAAGGTTCTTCTTTAACTCTGCCAACTTGTGTCAAACTACTGCTGGCTGAAGGAGGAGGTGGAACAGGGATGATGGGAGAGTGAGATTGTAAAGGTCACCTTAGAGAATTTCAAAGCTGAAGAACACCCTTTTAAACCAATGCACTGATTTTTATACATAGGGAAACTGAGTTCAAAGCTCGAAGTATTGGTCCATGTCAGGCTCCTGTCAGTGGCAGGCCAGGCCAGGAACCCACAATTTCCCATGCCCAGTGCCCTGTACTGTGGCTGAAGGTCTGGAAGCACCCGCCTCCCTGCAGTGTTTTCATTCACTCTGGGTTGGCTGGTGGTGCTGAGTAGATGGAAGCTCTTGGGTGAAGGTCTTACAAACATCCGCACTGAGTTCCCCAGAGCTGTTTGGGGTGCAGCAGGAGCTGGGAGAAACTGCGGAAGCACAGAAAACACTGGGTGCCGCTGTGCAGGGGGAGGGCTGACCCTTTGTTGCAGGGAAGGAACCTACACAGAGCCGGGCTCCCACCATCCCCGGGGTCAAGGCGCCGGTTCCAGACAGAGCCAGCCCTGAGCATCCCGAGGGGAGGCAGCAGTCCCCGCGGAGGGGGGCCTGGCTGAATGGCTGCCCTGGGGCCTGGTGCCCCTTCTCCTTATTCCTGGGCCCTCTGCTCCCCTCTGTCCAGTGGCAGGGCTGATTTCACTGTCTAAAGTCTGCTTCTCAGAACACTTTTTTCTTCCTTTCTCTTTTTCTCATGATCAAAACAACAACAATTTTTTTTTTCTTCTTCAGGAAACGGACACATTACTCTGATTTCACTGATTTGTCCCAGCACAGTGATGTGCAATAAACATGAGCGATGCCCCGGAGAGCTCCCACACAAAAGGCTATTAGCTTTTAATTGAAGCCCGCCCCCCATCCTGCCT